TTAACAGTTAGTAGGACTGGCCTGATAGGATCTGACTCACCCAATCAGTTTGGTAAAGTTTAGGTTTGTGGTGATAGAAGATAAATGACTCTTTCCTGACATGTACACATCATCTAATGCTTGTTATAGGGACCTAGTAGCAATCTAACAGCAGTGTAAGTTGTCTAGGGTCCTCGTCACTGCAAGAGGTAGACTGATCATTAGGGTCTTCATCTGTGTGTTTTATTAGCCAAGAAAGCAGGAAGAATAAGCAACGCAGAAAGAAGTAGTCTGCCCTTTGCAACACAAAAGTATAGCAAAGTATATCCACACACAGCAGAGTGTGACACACCCACCGAACTGCCAAAACATCAGCAAGCAGTGCGCACACTCGCTGCGTCTCTGCTGCTAATGAATGAACAATCCGAAAGCGTTCACACATGTAACGCGCTGTCTGGTGGCAGAGCGCCGACCGGCAATCAGCTGACCTGCTTTAGCACCTGTACGGTTACCATGGCAACAGCAGACCCTCAGCAGCACACGTTCCCACGGTTCTGTTTTTTTCCCCCATCTCTTCCCATTCCTCCCCCTTTTTACCATTTCTAATTCCCCTTTCTCCCTGCAGCGTTTTGTTTTTTTTTTTTTTTCCTCCATCAGCTTCTCCATATTCTGTGTCTGTCACAAGTCGCTGCCCCTCATCTTCTTTATCTCCATGTCTAAATCCTTTTCTCTCATCCTCCATCACTGTTTTGCTGCAGGATGCTGAACATGACATCATCTATCCGTTTGAAAATATCTGAATGAACACCTTCAGGGTGAGCATGTATAGACCCTCATGTCTACTTGAGGTATTTTAAGAATGACTGGATTCAGAAACAGTGAACTGCTAGAAGGTTGTAAGAGAAGTTGATGTGTAAGAGAAAAGCAGGACATAGATAGGTAAGGACACACACACATTCTACATTTCAAAGCTTGTACATCGTTACTTCAGGGCTGTGCTCCAGCCAACCGGTTAACTCCAAGCTTACGTCATCTATTCAGAGCTATCCTGTTTTCAGCAGCAGATTCTGACATTAAAGGACCCTTTAGTTTGATGTTTCTGTTAGGAAGCCTTCACTGCTTTAACAAACTTTTCCCTTTAATGTAAGAGGATTTAATTCTGACCTTTGGTTGAGAATATGTTTCTATTCATTGTCTAAACTCAACAGCTTTTATGAAACCAGTAAGATCAGAAAACGGGTTGCAAAGGGTAAGGTTTGTAAAAAATCCTGATGTCAAGTATAGTGGAAAAAACAGAACTGTAAAGCCTTGTAAGGCATATGTGCAGTAGGATTGGGTGCCTTTTTAAACTAGAATTCATACGTTATTTGAGTTTCCATTAGAGTACCACCCACTAGTGGCATGGCACGGAAATTACAATGTTTTAAATGTTTTTTTGTAATGTTGTGTATATGGAGATCATAATCTAAACATTGTAAATGTGTAAGAACGCAAAAAACAAGGACATGTTCAATGGATGGTTGTGATGTACCAGAGCCGTTATTAATAGCTTTCTGGGCTTTCTTAAGTTTTTCACTCATTTTGAGTCCATTTATTTCATTTGACTTGACAATTAAAAAAAAGTAAGAGAAGCAGACAAGTGGAGGTTTTCTTTTAGAGCAAGTATCAGTAAGGGGATTAGATCCGAGTGAGTGGGGAGGAATGAAACTTTCACAACTTAATTTTCTTAACATTTCAGGTTAGGGTTGTTGCTCACCATAGATACGAAGAAGGTAGATCACACATTAACAGACATGTTATTGCAATTGATCCTTGGAATGCTGGCATTTGAAGCAGCTAGAATGTTCATTGTGGATAAGAGGAAAGACATTCTGTATCCCTGGAATGATTTATGGATTTTTCCTGTATAAAATTAAATGCTCAGATGGCTTGCCATAAACAAGGAACTGAGCAGACAGACAGCCAGACTAAGATCACACATATTTGTCTAAATCATTCATCCCTACCTTTGGTTTGCCTCTTATTTGTTTTGCTAATCCAAAGCCTTATCAATTAAAAGCAAACGATCTGACATTCTCAAGCAGACCACTTCATGGGTCCAAGTGAAGCACACTATTAGATGACAAAAGGCACCTTTGGTTCAGTGGAAGGAATCTGAAAGTCAAAATCTATTTTCCAATATCCTCCTGTCACATGCCGGTGTACCCTTGGGTAAGACCCTTAATCCAGAGTTGCCTATTTATATTCATTGTAGCTGTACTGTAGAGCTCTTAGTACACTCAGTATGGCAAGAAAACAACTATAAAGTCAATCCGTTTGTTATATATCAGAGGAAAAAGCTCATGACTAAAAGCTCTGTTAAAGCAGTGACGTTCAGGGAGAGAACTTTGTTTATGCTCTCTAGAAAAAGTCATTATAGGCAAGAGGAAGGTTAGACGATAAATTGGTCGCCAGTCCATCACAAGGCAACAAACAGGACAAAAACACATGCACAAGCAAACACACTCTTACCTAAAGAACATTTAAAGAAACCAATTAAGAAGAGTCTCACTATTAAGCTGCAGATGTAATGTTCAGGTTTTGGTTTAAAAAAATATTGCTACCATAAGGATGGAGAGCCCTACTGCTGTCAACATTATTTTCTCAACTTTTAGCTGTAGTACGATATCAGCATCTCTCACAAAAGACCCAAACTGGTGATGCATTCAAATAATATACTTGTGTTTTGGCATAGTGAAGGCTATAGTAAAACATTATCTAGATCACCTCAAGTTGGCTTGCAAATTGATTGAATAACACACTGGCGGCTTTCATAGCTGGTTTACTAAGAGGTATTATTCTCTAGTGACTAAAAAGTCACTAAACAAGGAAGCTGGTTATACACTTCATGTGTCACCAGTTCACACTTTGTATCCAGTGCAATTTTCAGCTGGTTGGATTTAGTTTCACTCCAACAGAACCAACAGAAAAGAAGGATTTATGGCTTACTAAGAGTTACTAATATATTGAGCAGCACAGTTTCCTCAAATCCTGCAGAGCAAAGACGGCTAGGGCTGTAACTCCCTATAAAGATTGATTTATATTGACGCACAGCTAAAAACTGCCCATATGTTTGCAGATAAAACAACAAAAATGTGTCATTTTTACAGATCTGGCTGAGAGTTAAAATAATCACTATAATTCTAATAGTGTCTTTCAGAGACACTGCATGCAAATCTCATTTCACACAAAACCTGTCAGGGTTAGTGTTTCAACGTGGGTGCTAAGCGAGCATCTGCAGGGGGTGCTACCTTTAGACTATCAACCAAACTATCTATGCTCTTAATATGCTGTTATCCTTTAAGGTGTCAGTAGCAACACAAGGCAGACATCAGTAAAATGATTTTTTATCATGCTGCTTTGCTTATACTGTGCTTTACAGAAGGATCCTTTTTTTATTATCAATTTTCAGTCTAATGATTTAATATCAGTTTCTGTAACCCATTGTTCCTCAGAATAAGATGCATATTTCCAAGTATGTTTAAAACATCAGTTTTTACCCAACAAAGGAGAGGTGCTTTTATTTCCTTCTGAACCCACAATCCTTCATTTACCAAAACAAGAACCCCAGTTTCGCCTCTCTTCCTCCTCTCTACCTTCGCCATGGCACTACACCGCCATAAATCATGCGGTCTCATCTGTAATGCAGCACCGGGTCAGAGTGATGTGGCAGTATCCTGCTCTCTGAGAGGAGCAAATGAGCTGCAAATGCCAATTTGAGTCAAGGTCAAATGAATGGTTCACATACATAGTGCATGCGTGCATTCTCAAGGCGACGTGTTCATACTTGGAGCCGAAGCGGTGTGTATCGATGTGCTTCTCTATCGATTACACATTACGCTGTATACTTGTCTTTTTTCAACACTTTCCTCCTGTTAGTCCTTCATCATGCCTTACTATCAAGCTCTCAAAAGAATATCCTAACCACCGTTTTCCTCTAATTCTTCCCTCTCTCCTTGTCCACCACTGTCAAATAAAGCCCTCACTGTTAAGAGATAATTAAAGATTGTGTCCAGCTGTGCAGGATGGGCCATCTCAAACACACACAAGCGTATTCGTACACTTTCCCAAGCATAAATGACCCTTCATGATGTGGCAGTTGAACGAAGCATGTGTGAAACCTTAGGATTCACAAGCCAGGTCTTATACACATACACACACACTTATAGAGCCAGCTTTGCAGCAATAGTGAATCTGAAGAGTACCTATTACCCACTCTCACACATCATTTCACAGTCTGGTCACACGCCAAGAGGAAAACGACCAACTTGGTCTGTTCAAACCTGGCAACCGAGATGAAGCAAAGCCTGCATGGCAGTGGCAAATAGAAAGACAATGTCCTTTAGCTTAATCATGGATAGATATAGAATGACAGTGAGCTAAATGCTTGAAACAAGAGCAAACCACCACATAGAAATAGATTTGGGGAAAAAAACAATCAAGTATGGTCCTTTTAAATGGCTAGACAACGGGATTAGAAGACATACATCCCTAATAATTGTCTCATACCGCTCCATATGCAGATGCTGGATGAATTGAGGCTTTCCAGTGCAAATGCATGAATGGAAGGAGTGATCTATAATGAGCAGATGCTGAAATGGGTGGAACTGAAGACTCGAATACGGTAAAAATTAGACTGATACAACAAGAGTGGTAGCCACTGTTTGCATCAGCAGATGAAAACAGACGACAACTTGATGCAAACAAAGAGGGGAGTGATGGAGAGAAGCAGGTGCTTTGAACTAATAGGAGAAAAACACACTAAGACAATCTGAATGAAAGAGAAAATGCAATGTCTGATCCTGTATGGTAAAATAACATCAGTTTGAGTTAATGAGTGCCATTGGATTGGAAGTGTAGCTATAAATCGTAAACAAGGCATTTATGGAGCAGTTTTTGCAGGTTAAAAATTTAAAAATGACATAAAGTCAAGTGTTTAAATAGATAGCAACTCCAAAAAGAGGCCAAAATATATAGAGTACCTGTTGCAGATTTTGGTCTGTGTCTTCCTTTGGGCCGTCTTTGGGAATTGCCCATACTATTTTTCCTGTCCCAGAACATCACCGCTTCATGCCACCGACACACAGACACGTAAAGACTGGTTGACTGACTGACAGGCAGAGAGGCTTGACGGTCTGCTTGCGTCTCTTGAGAAAGACGAGCCCTGGTCGAAGCCGCGTGTGAATGAGAAGGACGTTGGAGAGACTCACAGCATCACAGAAGACCTCAGAGTGTGTGACAGCGCGTGGTCTGTGATGAGTGTGTGAGCCCGGCGGGTGACTGCAGATGAGCTACGTCTGCGTGTGTGTGAGAGAGAGCTCGGCTGCTACGTGAGCTGTTGACAAAGCGGGATGCATGCCGGTGAGAGCGTAAACGGTAGCGTGGAAGGATGCCTGTGTGTGAGGAGACGATAGAGCGGGATTGTGCTTGTTTCTGGAGGAGACGTTCTGATGTTTGCAGGTGAGAATATGAAAACGTGTGTGTGTGTGAGAGAGAGAGAGACTGGGAGAGAAAAGGGAAGCATGTGAGTTGATTAGTTTCCAGCCAGTCAAATTCAGCCACTGCTGTTCAATTCATAAAGAGAAAAGGGTGAAGGCAGCCAATCAGGAGCACAGGAAGAGAGCTGAGGAGATGGGCAGCAGAGTGAAGACGGTAGAGTGGGAAATAGAAAAACAGTATGGAAAGAAAGAATTAATAATGCAGAGAAGGTGTGTGAAGCTAATCTGTAGTTAGGCAAAGGACATAGCCTTAATGCTTTGTCTGTTTTGCCCTTTAGTACGATCATTAAAGAAATTATAATTTTAGAGAGAGATTAGTGGCAAATGGACATGATTTATACTGCACTTTTCTAGTCCTAGTGACCACTCAAAGCACTTTATAGCCACATTCACCCAATTGCTCTTGCCAATGCACTGATACGGAGAATAAATGTGGCTAAGATTGATCCTAAAGCCCTGCTGTAACAAAGCTTGTGCAAACAAATATCACATGTGCAATAAGTGGGTATTTTGAAGGCAATCTACTAAAGCTGAATGTGCAAATAATTGAAGACTGCACTGTTCGAATGAGGTGTGCATGTTGCTACCTTGACACAAAGAGCAGGTATAGTGTGGAGAGGACGCAGGTTGAGGAGATGTAAAATGACCTGCTGTGTTTGTGTGAGATAAAAAAAGAAAGGTAATCAGGATCTATGAGGCTATAAGATAATCCAAAAAAAGCAACATAGAAAAGTTGAAAGCCCTCTAGCTTTTTCCTCAAAAGGTCACGATCGTTCAAGGTCATTTATTTAGCAAAGATATATGAGCTATCCAGAAACTGAGCAGACAGACATTTATGAATAGGGAATGTTTTGTTATTTTTTTTTTATTTTATGAAAGTTGATTTTAACATGTCTAGTCAAATTAAAATGAAGGACAGAAAACAGTTGGGTACAGCAACTGTACAACAACAAAATAGTAAAGACTTGTTTTGTATTCTCAATGTAGAACTATATATTAAGGATAGTGACCATTTGTAAGAGAAAACAAGTCTTTCCATTGGTCACTATTCTTATGGTATAACTTGAAGAACAAGAAAAGCTGCATTTTGTCCTTTGTCATCACCACAGCTACGTAAAGGACATGATAGCGAAACAGAGAGAGAAGCTGCTCGACCTGACCGCAAAGAGACGGCAATGGAATTATCCATCTACACATTAAAATGAGGTGTTACAAAGAGATCTCTTCCAAAAATAGCATTGCTCCATAGATATTATCCCTCTTCTGTTTTAACTTGACAGTCCAAATGTGTTGACAAGTGCACAGAAGCTCCACCTGTATGTTGTTGTAGCTACATGCCTTTTTCTCGTTACAATTAATGCAGACATTTTTTGCATATAAGTTTGCATCTGAATTTTAAACATGCACAATATAGATGCATAGATGTAACTTGCAGCCACATTCTCTTTCATGTTTAATAAATCCCATTTTCATGTAAATGTCCACCTCCTGTTATTTGTTAAGTTGTGATGATCAGCACACGCTCTGTTTTGAGGGCCTAGTTGTTCAAACAGGCTCCTGAGTTTTGAAAACGGTTTAAAAATGCCAGACTTAGACAGAAAACTGAGGGTATTTCTACCTGGATAATAGGAGATTAGTAATATTCTTCATTAGGTTATGAGGCAATAATATAGCATGCTTTTATCTTTTCTTCAATCGGCTGTTGAGGTTGGTGGTGGTATAATGGTACTCACTGGCACACTTAAAACCCACAGCATATCTGGAGTTGCTCACCATGTCCATCCATTTAGGATATCAGTGTACCAATCTATCTAATGGCTCCTTCCAGCTGGATAATGTACCAAGTCAAAAAGTTCAAAACATCTCAAACATGAAAATGCCTTTAACTGGCACAGTGGCACCTTTGGGATTTGGTGGAACAGGATGTTCATGTAGGTTTACTCAAAAAAATAAGCAGTAACCTGGTGATGTCTATGGTAATATGGACAGTAAATGTTTTAAGAATGTTTCAGAAATGTTAGTGAATTTATTTCAAAAATTACATAAAGGCACTTTTTAACTAAAATGGGGTCCAACTTCATACAAGTCAGGTGAACTAATAAAGGTAAGTGGTGTGTGCAGATTCCATAACCTCCTCTTTGCATCACTGCTCACCAACAGTTGACGTCCACTATCCAATAGTGAAATATATTTATAGTGTTTACTGATTGAATAAATCACATTAAAATTGAGAAGGCTGAAGAGATATGTATTGAAATAAGAAACATTTTATCATTAAATGAAGAAGAGTATGAGGAAGGGTTGGTTGAGGACAGAAATTGAAAGTGAAGTGAGGTGTCCAAGCAAGGGATTGTAATGGGGAGAGAGCACGAGGGAGAGAATACAAAATGAGAACCAGAGAGTAGAGATTCACTTTCCAATTTCTCCCTTCAGGGGGCTGTTAAGTGAAACTGTCCAGAAAGGGTGGACAAATTTATTTGAATCCTGAAAAAAGATGCATGGACCTAAGAGCAAACGATTTTGTTGTGGCTGTTTATTCACGTCATTCACAAATACAAAGGGATTCTCTGTCCTAACGGAAATCTTCTAAACCCTTTAACACCAGGACTGATTAAACCAAAGGGATGTTGGTTCAAACCTCAGCTCTAGCTTTCAATGTCGTTAAGTCCTTTGGCAAGACACGTCACCCGTATTGCCTACTGATGGCGGTCAAAGCGCCCCGGTGGCGCCTACCTTGCTTATGTCAGCTGGCAAAGTCTCCTGACTTGAAAAAGTGCGAAATAAGTACAGGCAATTACAAAACCATTTACAAAGTTAGAGAAGAAGAACCTTAAAACTTAGGGAAGATACCTTAAAACAAAGAATAAAGTGATTCCTAATCCCATGAGATAAATAAATGATCACTCCTCACTTGTTTTATTTTCCTTCTCCCTCCATTGTTTTCTATATCGGCTGAGTGTTTAGCACCTTTCTGTGATTGCTTTTGGGCCCTTTTACCACAAACAGGCTTAAATTGGAAGGCAACTGGAATTTCGATCAGTTTTTTTGAAGAAGTGTTGACGCCTATCCAGGAGTCTTTGTCGATACTGTTGACCCCCCTTTCACACCATCTGTCCTCTGTGTCTTTCTTCAGAAATTTCTGAGAAACTCTGTTAGATTTTCTCGAAACACAACACGGCAGTGAATTTCAAACCCAACAACATACTGAGACAAAAACCGGTTCATCATTAAGACAAAACACCCAAACCTAAGCTTAGCAGCGTTGTATATGCGATTCAGGGCAGTTTGGACTGTAGAGCCTCCAATATTGGAGAAACCAAACAACAACAACACAAAAGCATGGCACAGTCTAGGAGAGCCACTGGCTCTGGGCAAGATTAGCTGCACACTTGCACCTCAAGACCAAAGATCACACCTTTGTACATCGTTTTAATATTTTGGACAGAGAGAACAGATGGCTTGAAAGAGGAGTAAAAGAAGCCATCTTTGTTAAAAGAGAAAAGCCATCACTGAGCAGGGAGGGAAGATTGCAGTTTCAGATTCCAAGCATTTACGATTGAGTCATGAAACTTATTTTAAAGGAGTTACATAAGCACTCCCATAATGATTCAAAAGACCAATCACAGCGCCCATGCACAACAAAAGACTCCAACAATTTAGAAGAACAAAGTTTGGTTATTTGATTTGTATCTAATTTGGGATGTGTGCAGGAGGATGGACCTCTATGCTGTTTTAATACATCAGCACTCCACTAGAGTTTGCTCCGGTGCAAGTCAACAGAGTTCACAAAGACATAGAGAGGACAGGTGTTGAAATGTCTTCAAAAAAAAGTGAGCAAATGTCTGGTTGCCTTCCAATTTAAGCCTGTTTGTGGTTACCATGACCAGATTACTGAGAATTTACACAGGCATGTAGCCCTTTTCCACTGCAGGAATGTTAAACCATTACTAAGGATATCAAAAGCCCTGCAAGCATTTCTACACAATTTTAACCTTTGCAAGATCAATTTTGCAGGTTCATACTTTCCAAGATAAAATGTCTTGGTCTGGGCACAGGGATTTCAGATTATCCTTGGGTTGTTATTAAAGGACAGGGACATTTGCTTTGCAACAATGATTGGTGGAATTTCTTGCAGTCAAGCTACCAATTGGACTGTTTAAGCGGAAGGAGAACAATGAAAACAGAGGTTTTATATAACTCTTTCTCTGACAATATTATTTTAGTTGATAATGTAGCAGAATATGACTGAGATAGATAGTTTATCAGAGTATCAACTACGTTCCAGTTTCCATTACTGCTGAGCTTTATAACCAGCTCACCTGACCCGCTGTCAGCTGACTGGGCGCTTTCATTTTTCCAGAGAGAACGCCCGATTCCTCGCACATCATGATCAAGCTCCCGTTTGCTTTCTCAGTCAGTCAGTTCTCAGTCAGATCATTCTGTTTTCACACTAGCCTGTTCTGCGATCCATTTTGGATTTCTCCTTAGATTCAAGATTTTAGAGTTTCAGTTTTTAGGAAAACTGTTTCCATGGTTTCACCTGTTAGCCTCCTGACGTCTCATAGCATTTGGATGATGCTGTACACCATTACATGACAGTTACAGATATTTAGAGGGTAACCAATGTTTTTATATCATTGGAATCCCATAATTTGTATTTTACAGAAGATAGAAATTACATCATTGATATGATGAAGCTAAAATAGAAAATCATAAGCTAACCTGACTTTAAGAGGCACAAAGTTTGACACAAACTGCCAATGTCACACATTTAACAGAGTGGGACTCTGTAAGTCAAGTCCATTTGGCAGGAACAGACCGTAAAGAGCACTGGAGGCAATTCTTGTTCTTTTCGTCTTCTAAAGCCCATTGCCTCCATTTCTGAGTTTACTTCGGTCATTGCATAACCCATAATGGAGTCTGT